TAAGCAAAGCAAAACAAAACAGAACAAAACACAGCAAAGCATAAACAAAGCAAAGCAGCAGTGGCTATCACCCCTGCAACAAGTAAAGCCACTGTTAAGGAATAGTATAAAAATGATCAAAACAATTAAAACCAACAATGCTGCAGGTTACCTTGGCTGCACGTCACCCTAGCACAGCATGTGCAATGGACGCCAACTTCTACTGGATCACGCTCGCATCAATTATCGCTCCTGGAGAGCATGCGGCAAACAGTCTTAAAGGAGAAGCGGCAAACAGTCTTAAAGGAGACGCGGGACACAGACCAATGGCGGGAGATTCACTTCTAACCGGTTACGGCAGCGACCAGCACAGAAATTGCTTATCGCAACAGTGTCTCCCCAGGTGTATATATATATATATATATATATATACACATACATACATGTATACAGGTCTCTATTTATAAGCACTTTACTCTTATTTATTTATTTTATCCATTTCTTAATGCACATTCCCTTGCACGTACACATTGAGAGCCGCTGTACCATTGTCAAATTCCTCGTGTGTCCACACCTGGCCATTGAAGCTGATTCTGATTCTAATATAGTGTATCATGTCGGCAGTGGACATCCTACGTTTTGGGTTTTTTTTAAGACTATTTTATTCCTCTGTTATTCTCTGAACTATATTGTATAATCGTTGGTGTTTTATTAACTCTTGTATTTTCTCATTTATTACCCGTTCTTATTTATAACTGTAAAGTTCAATCGACTTGAAATATGGTTTGGGTTGTTACACAATAAGTCTGCAAAGTGTGTTTTTGTAACAACAAAGACGTTCACCAAAACAGCTCAGTAAACGTAGATGTCTATCGTCACTATTAAAATGAAAAGAATTGAGGACTCGGTGAACAAGCAAGTAGAAAAGAAACTCGTATTGGAGTATTCCTCCAGGGCGCTGAACACAACCGCTATTTGCCTCATCTGCAGACTGCTAAACACGTGGTAGGCTGTATAAGGCAAAGGTAGAGAGGTAGAGAAGAAGGTCGAGTCCGCTAGGCTCTATGCTGGCTTTTGGTAGCGTCACACCGACCAGAATCGGAGAATCTGAATCCGAGCAGATAAAACATTTTATTTACTGTGCGCTGAGATGGTACACTTTTATTTTGAAGGCGAACCGGTAGTTATCTCAATGCCAAACCCGGCGTAAGTAAACAATTTTCATTTGAAATAACATTTGCTCGAACGATCGACAATAACATTGACATTTTTAGGCAAGCATGATGTCCGCCTGTTAGAATTAACATGTCTCGCAGTGCTCTAGTTTGGGTTTTGTAAATTTTACCCCACACCACGGCGACTCCTTGTGGTTGATCAATCAGACTGTAGTTAGTGGTGAACAGCGGGGAAGCTGTCTGTTGTTAGCCATTGTTTGTAGCCATATAAGTTATTACTATCTATGTTAACGACCCCGTTTCGTAGTCTTGACAGGAAACATCAAGTTAGCAGGTAAAAACAATTCATTTTATGTGTGGGTTTGAAAAGGAGCAGACTTTTAGAGTAGTACTTTATTACTGCGGTCTTTTATGTTGGCAACAATTTTAGCATGTTAACAAGATGCTAGTGGGCCGCGCTGTCCCCCTTTCGTTAGAGAGGGACGGGCGGAAACCGTTAGTATTACCTTTGTTAGCTAACTTAGCTAACAGCGACGTTAAAACGCACCAGTAACGACAACAATAGATTTATCAAAGTAGTTTACCTCACTCTAAAGTTACGTAGCTGCAGTTCCCCAGTTCTAAAATGTCATGCAAGGATAAAGTGCCAGATGTTTACTGTAACTTTGCAAACTAACACGCAAGTTAGCTAACGTCAGCTAAGGTGCCGTTGTTGTTTTTGTCTTTCTATATATAGTACAATCAATAATATTCACATTCATACCATCACTGTTCCTGTATGTATCAGACAATCAACAATGCAAAATGTAAATCGTTAGCACCTCCGGTAATGATGAATAAAGGAGCTAAATTCTTTGGTGAAATCAACTTAAGGTGGTACAATCAATAATGTCTTGTAATAAACCGGTTTCACGAAGTCTACAGTGTTCGGTTTTTGTTGAAACTTTGTTTCGACTTTATTGTCATGTTGGAGAGTGTAGTTTTTGGTGCTGTTAAAGTGCTTTTTGTTATACTAAGTGATTTCTAATATTTTATTCACCTCATTTATACAAAGTGTGGGTGGACTAAGTACTGGAAATTAGAGCTAGACCAATAAATTAATTGGGTAAATATTTGCTGATTGCATATTTCATTTTTTTTCTCTCTCCTTCTACAGACATGCCAAGTCTAAAGCTGATATCTGCAACTGATACACAATATTCAGCAGCTGTACTGAAGTCAATGAATGAGCAGAGAAATCATGGATTATTTTGTGATGTCACCATCATTATACAGGACAAGAAATTCAGAGCTCACAAAACAATCCTCTCTGCTTCGAGTACATATTTCCACCAGCTTTTCAGTGTAGCCGGACAAGTGATCGAGTTGAATTTCATCAGAGCAGAAATCTTTGAAGAGATTCTCAATTACATTTATAGCTCCAAGATTGTTCGTGTCCGCTCCGATGTGCTTGAGGAGCTCATAAATGCTGGGCAAATACTGGGAGTCAAGTTCATTGCTAACTTGGGGTCACCTTTATCACACGTTAAGGGTCTGCCTGGTTTGTCTAAAGAGATGGAAAACAAAAGTGACCCATCAACAGAGATGATGCCGATCATCACAGAGTCCTTCTCTATATCTGCAGAGGAATTCAATCAGACAAGCGGGCCTGCAGGTAATGACGAGGATTCGGACAGTGATGTTATGTTTGTTTCGCAAACATATGCTCAAACCAGAACATCTACTCAGAAAGCCAACTCTGATGAGATCATTGACTTGGATACAGCTGATTCAGAAAATGTAGACTCAAAACAAAGTGCAGAATCAAATAATTCATTTGAAAAACACAAAGAAAGAGCCACAGACCCTTTGAGGAAACATTCCACCAAGCCTCCCAATGTTAGTATTCGTAATCCCAATTTACCAGACAGCAGGCCTCTGCGCAGTCCAGACTCCAGCTCCAATAACTCATCTTCTCCTGCCAGAGTTTCCTCAGGAAGTGCTCCCACAACACCAGCCAGGTCAGGCACCTTCACCCCTGAGCCCTCGAGTGCCTCTCAGCCTTCTGAAAACAGTGATATAATGGGAATCCACAAGAAGCAAGTCTCTTCTTCATCCCAGCAAGGGGATTCCAAAATAAGGCTCTTAGATGTTTCTGAAAGCTCAGCTAATCAGGCTAACATTTCCAAATCAGCTGTAGCTGCAAAAAAGACCGTGACACTCAATACAGCTACAGAGATTGCTTCAATTTCTTCAGGCTGTAAAGTGTATGCAAATATTGGAGAAAATACCTATGACATTGTCCCACTGAAGGAAGATCCAGGTGAAGGAGGCTCTAAAGCCAATAAAGGGAAAAGATCATTAATGGCGACACCTTTGAAACCCTTTGATAAAGTACCAGTGTCACTGAAGAGCAACCCAAACAAGAAGAGGAGCAAAACTGAGCTTGAGGATCACTACGAGCTGGTCATGGATGGAAAGACTTTCTACGTCTGCATAGTCTGCAAGCGCCCCTACGTGTGCCTGACCAGTCTTCGCCGTCACTTCAACACCCACTCATGGGAAAAGAAGTACCCGTGTCGTTACTGTAACAAAGTCTTTGCTCTGGCTGAGTACCGAACTAAACATGAAATCCACCACACAGGAGAGAGGCGGTACCAGTGCTTGTTGTGCAATGAAATGTTCATGAACTACCAGTTACTCTCCACCCACTGCAAGCAAGCCCACAACCAGGATCCCAGCGGGAGGAAAGAGAAAGATGATGCTGACAACAACTTGTATCGGCTGCTGCCATGTAAAACAGTGCAGATGAAGTCGTACTCGTGGACTACTGATGGGCCAGGGGTCCCTGTCATCTCCGAGGATGGAAGTGTACATCATATAACAACTGCTGGCGAAGATGTCCACTCTTCCACCCAGAGCAGGATGTTGAACTGGGATGACATCTTCATTGAGCCTGATGCTCACATGCCCCCAGATGTGCATGCTGGACCGGGATCAACCATGAACACTCCACCACAGGGAGTCACAGAGTTTGACTTTGTTATACCAGAGACCTATTGAGTAACACTCATTATTCTTACCTGTGCCTTTTAGGTGCCCCACCCTTTTCCCCTCTTTGGTCCCATGCCAACAACATTCTTCTGTAATTCTGAGTAGTGTCAGCTCAAGGCACGGTCATATTAGCCTTTGTTTAGTACAATATTACCCCACAAGCACCATTAAACAGATCCCCACAGTTGAAGTTGGTCAGAGGTGAAATCTAAACTGAGTCCACCAGAGCCAGTGGGAGATTGCACCAAAACAGGAAACGGATCCTTGAATTTGTCAGTTGTGCTGACTACAACTGAAGTGATAGACAGTTGAGGTCATTGCAGGATGGAAATGTAATGCGACCGTGCCTGTACTCTCATTACATTGCATTTGTCATAGCCTTGATCTTTTGTATCACTGGAATGAATGGTAATCAGTACTCACAGAAGGGTTCACATGCGGTAAAATAATTCATATGAATATAAAAATTCCATATATGGATCAAACTAATCTTGGGAAATAAGGGAAGGTTAAAACATAATATTAAAAATGCAAAAAATATTTATATATTATGGCACGTTACAGCTTTTGCAGACTCAAACTAATGTTCATGCGTATGTTCCCTTTGGTCTTTCACTTTAGATTCTATATCAGCTGACTATTTCAGCTAAAGCATCTTAAGCCCAAAGCACTGAAATGAGACCTGTTGTTCTCACTTTTCCTTCAGCAGTTTACTGAACATGTCACTTAAATCGGTTAAAGACATTGAGCGTCTCTCTGAGCCCCGTTTCATAAAATGGAAATGGGGATTGCTATTAAACAGCGTGAAACCTGAGCTGATGGGTTTTGTGTGTGATCAGGTGACATTGTTTTTCTTTGGTCAGAGCACATTAATGCATTTATTTGTATAAAATGCCCCACATTGACATAAAACAAGGTTGGTCAAATTTTAAACCAATCACCTGATGAACTTGTGAATTGTCACTAGTTTTGAGGATAAGGTGACAATTTTCAACATTGTGGGACTGTGATCATTCTTGATTCCTGTATGAAATCAGTTTAAAGCTAATTCTCTATAAGAGAATGTTAATTATGTCATGAAATATATTTTCTAATTGTGTTATTGTTGGTGATCCCACATCTGGGTATTGTGGCAGGGAACATATTCAATGCTTATTTCATTTTTCAGTGCTTGGGAAAAACAAATATGGCTTATTTTGTCCATTAAGCACCTTCTGATTTATTCTTATGCACTTGTATTTTTATTTGCTATGATTGCCATGTTATTTTTTTATACAAATGTTATTTTAAAGCCAAAATCCACCAGCTATAGGATAGACTATAGATTTTACGTACAAATGTGATAGGCTTGACACAAACTGAGGATTATTTCATGCTATACAGATAGCACTTAGCACTGAGTCATGCTGAAGACTTTTCTGTGTAATATAAAAATTTTTTATTTTTACTGTGTATCCATTGTGTCAGATGGTAGTAATTGGTCAGTCTGAGTAAACAAGTAGGGCTAACATGGGAATCTAACTTTATATCATGTCATTCAGTAAAATCAGCCTGGTTTCGTTCTTTAATAAACAGATTAACGTTGGTGTGTGATTTACAGTATATATTTATTAAAGCTACCTTTTTACTGTATGTGTTTATTAGGTTTATAGCAGACAAAATGGAATAGTTACAGTAAATACTGTTCATTTTCTGTCAATTAGCAAAAAAGGTTGTCTGGTAAATAAATTATTCTTTTTCTATTTGAGCTGGATTGTTTTGCACTACTCGACTGCACATCTATTTTATTTTCGGTGTTGTACTTTCCCAAAATTTGGTCAGTGATTTTATTTGCGATCACTTATACATTGCATTATACAGAGGTGTTTGTTATTTAGCCTAGCATCATTGATATATTGAATGAATGGATACATTAATTTTACCTAGATGTACCTAATAATCTGGCAAATGATACAAAATTCTGTTGGTAGAACTGTAGAAGATACTGGAATAATTGAACTCATTAATTTGATGGCACAAAATGTACAGACAGGTGACAAATTAATAGAAAAAAAACCCCGAACAAACGAGTGGTCTCTTTGGAGATGACAATCTTTCCATCCATTGGGCACAAGGTGTCGCTGAATGGATGAGTATGAAAGTGACGTAAAGCATATGCTATGGCTTTTACAGTCACCAGATCTCAACCCAGTTGAACACCTATGGGAGATTTTGGGAATAACGTGTTAGACAGTGTCTCCACCACCATCATCAAAGTGCCAACTGAGGAGATATGTTCTTTTTTTAAAGAACGGCGTCCATTCCTCCAATAGGAGTTCAGAGACTTGAAAAGTCAATGCCAAGGTGCGCTGAAGCTGTTCTGGTGGCACGTGGTGGCCCAACACCTTATTAAGACACTTCCTTTCATTTGCCACCTGTCTCAACATTGAGAGAAATAGGTGAACTTTCCCATTTATCACAGTATGGTATGGACATAATGCATAATGTTGATTTGACCCTGACAACTCCACACTAGGACTCTAAGACTGTAATAAGGCACGGCAGAGCTCTGGGGTAAATGATTAAAAAAAAAAAAAAGTGAAATTGCTTATATACTTTGTTATATCCTGACAGGGGACATGAACATGTGCGCCAAGTTTCATAGCAATCCACCAAAACAGATGCTGAGACATGTCACCAAAAACCAAAAATGTGAACCTCATGGTGGTGCTAGAGGAGAAGTCAAGAGGATTACCGAGGTCAGTAGGTTTCATCCTCCTCTGGCATCTACTGAAGTCATACTTGCACTGTACAATATTTCATGGCAATCCCTCCAACAGTTGCTGAGATATTCCAGCCTGAACTGAAGTGGAGAAAGCAACACACAATGTGAAATACACAAAACAATTTTTAATGGCAAGACAAAAAAAGGAACTGACACTTTTACCAGCCTCTGAAAATGTGTCTGAACTATAAAAAGCAGTTATTAAAGCTCACAGAGGGAAGTAAACTTAGTCTTTTGCCAACAGTTCTTGTTCTTTGTCCTTCCATGATCTCCCATTTCATGTCAGTGAATCCAGCACTGACTGTTCACACTCAAGTCTTATTAATTAGTCCTAACAAAGACAACACATTTCAGCTCATACATGTGACATTACTACTACATACACACAGAGACACACACGTTAGCTCACTGCTTCGCAATAGTGTTCAGAGTATAATTATTAACTGTACTTCCTCAACAACCACTTTAGGTAGAATAGCTTATTTCTTTATTAAGACTGCTCTACAAAGTTCACCACACATTGATCAGGATATTCTTGAACATGAACTGAAGGGGTGATAAACAGATACCACAACCAGTTTGTATACCTTAGGCCTAACTGTGCTAAAAGAGCATCTGTATATCATACTGCTCTACATACATAACGGGCACGTAAAACCTCCATTACTAATAACTTTGATAATGTACACTGACACGATTAATGACTGCACGGGCCTGTAACTCTACAGGTTTTAATTTTCTAGCTGATTCAGATTTGGGAAAGACACCAAAGCGTTCAGCTAACTGTATTAATCTCACACAAGGCTTGTTTCACAGTGAGGATGTTGTCATCTGTGCCACTCACAGCAGGAAGCATTTACAATATGTACTAAAGACGGGTGAACATAAAGCACAAGCTGTACAGTCTGTCCAGGTGACAGAGTGCTGCAGTGCTGGAAGTCTATTTGCATTAAGGCAGACAGATGTGTAAACAGTCCTAGATGTGCATGTGTGCACACACACCGAGCAGGCCAGAGTGCAAGTGGTGCCTTGAGAGACATCACTCCCTTGTGTTGGGCTGAACTCAAGGTGTGGCCATCCTCCTGCTCCTCCCCACTTCCTTCAGTACAGTTCTGAATGATTGTGAGGAAAAGCCCAGAGGCACTGTGCATTCAAAACACTCACTCAGCATTTAACAACACCTGGTCACATTTCAGGTGTTCTTTGTTCGAATCCATCTTATGGGCTGTACGGCGGGGGCTTCTCGTCAGGATGGTTGTGGGGAGGGGAATAACGTGGAGGGATCATAGTGGGCCACAGATGGCTGGCTCCGGACTGGGAATCATCTGAGATGCCTGAGGAGTCAGGGAACATGAAGGAGCCCTGCTAAAAAAGCAAAACACATGTTAGAATGACGTTTAAGAGTTTGGCTTCAGAGTAACCGCTTGCTGCTACTAAATATTCAAACAAGGGCAACTAGTTGCAGAGCAAAATGTAACGTTGCCATTTTGTGGAATTCGAATTTAACATTGTTCATCATCTGTTGGACAAATGAAATGAGAAATAATTGAGTTTTTAGATCTTTTGATGTCCTAGCCCACCTGAACAAGCTCGTTTACTTTGGATTCACATGCAGTACAGTATCATTTTTAGGCACCATCAGGGAAGTAAGTGTCTGATGGGTCCCAAATACATAAAGACACCGAGACAGCTCAAAAAAATCTACAAGGCCAGTTCCCCAAGATGCTTTAAATAACCCACCTGGCAAGGACCTTGAAAACCAGAGTGCAAGTATACAGAGAGGAAGTGGGGCAGCTTTGAAGACAAACTGCTAAATAATGTATCAAATATTAATTAGATTTATATATTTTTCTGTTCACTGCACTCTGTAAGAAGTTAAAGGATAAATAAAAACTATTCATGGTATTATTTTTGAAAGAATACACACTATCTTTTGCACAGTACTGTTGCCTTGAGATTTTAGAAGAGGTCTTTATAGACTCTTAGTTTCATACCTTTCCTGCACAAGCTCTTGTTTACTTTGAATTCAGGCATTTTTTTAAGTCTATGTGGACAAACGTGTTTTTGTATATATGTGAGTGTCTTTGTGAACATATACACTATCTTTTATAATTGTATTTTTATGTGCAAACAAGATAAAAACACAAAGCGCATTAATACATATACATACAAAACAATTTCTAAAACAAAAAGAAACTGCACAATTTAAAACAATTTTAAAATGTAGGTATGGTAAAATATAATGGATGGCTAGATGTGCAGCAGTGCGGGTTTAATGTGGCTCTGTACCTGCAGGTCGTAGGCACTGTAAGGCGGCAGGCAGGGGGTGGTGTTGTAATACGAGGTGAGGGGAGTGGAGGTTGGAGGACGCTCTGACGGCGCTGGAGCTGTGACGGCCTCTGGTTCAGATGTACTCTCTGAGGCAGGAGAAGGAATCTGACAAAAGTAGTCATATTTAGTATGTGTCGATCTACAAACACCTGAGGATTACCAAATATGTACACAGAGCTGTGTGAATCCAGTTTTCATCAGCCAAAACTGATTAATGTAAACATACAGTATATATCGCGTATTGTTCACTTAGACATACCATGTCTTTAAAGCCTCCCAGCACAGCAGCAGTGATGATGCCCAGGAAGAGTGCCACAATGTTGAGGATGGTAGCAGACCACAGGAGGTGATAGAGGTGAACCACGTCCTGGCAGCTCCTCACATCTGTGTATTCATGGTAACCTCCAATCACTTCAACACGGCTAGCCCAGTGGGTGGGGCAGAGAACAGTCAAGCCACAAAAGTCACTGACTGTGTTTTTAACAATACACCTACATCAACCACAGCAACAGGCTCTGAGTTTTTCTATTCAGGACACAGCAACAGACAAACATATGTTTGTTAAGGTTCAGATCTGAGAGGAGAAACCACTGACAAGATGCTGCTAGAGGGCTGGAAAACAGATGAGGACAAATGAGGATGAATGTTGCAGAAAAAAACGGTGCCCTGAAAACACATTTCTATGGTGCACATTACATCAAAAACTCTACATTATTACTTCAGTTTGAACATCACTTGTCAGAAAAAAAGAGGTGATCAAAAATGGCTATTATGGGTCTGTAAAAAAAAAAAGGACCTACTTCCAAATCATGGATGATTTCCTAAACTTTTTCAAAACATCTTTATTCTGAAGTCCCATAAGAGGATGTTCTCTGAAACAAAGGTTAAAAGAAAAGAAACATTCTTGTGCTAATACAATCAACACTGTAATGCAAAAACATCTCCCACAAACATGGCACAGCGGTACACATAAAGAATCCAAGCAAATCCAAGCAACACAGAAAAGCAAATAGAAGGCGTTTTGTCTAATGCTCAACCGCTCGGCGTACTCACTTCCCGCAGTGGTACAGTTCGCAGCAGAAACAGGTGTTGCTCTTCACACGCAGGTTACAGGATGTGCGCGATGACGTCTGACAGGGCACCTGAAGGTTACAAACTATTTTATATTCCCTTTACTTTGAGTAAACTGCTGGCAAAGTACAACATCCTGGCTAAACAACTAACACAGACACAGAGTACAGGTCTAAAGTTTACTGTACAGCGAGGAGGAATTGATCTTACTTCTGTGAACTTCAAGAGAAAGGAGTGATTCTTACATCACGGTCGGATGCTGTCTCACTGGAGTGATACTCACAACGACCAGCATACAGTGGCCTGAGGTCCTGCAGTACAATACACAACATTTTTATATATTTCTGCATAATTCATCGGGACTTCCACTCATTAAAACACACAAAACTAGCAGAAACAAACAAAAGATAAACATATTGCATTTTCAATTCAATCTGCATGATTAATGGCTTCAGTGATAAATATGATCACAGGAATGAAATTAAGACTCAACAGAAAGCTAGTTACTAACTAGGAACAACTACTCCTCTGTTCCCAGAACACTGGGGGCCTCAAAAAAAAAAGTCACTGACACATCATTGTGTCAATTAGTTAGTTAATTAGTTAGAATAATTATGCCTGTTTGGTAATAGTTTTTGTTAACCCACAAAAAAACAACACTTTTCTGCTGGGGGGATGGTTACAAATTTGGTTTCTGGTGTTGTGGGTAAAATATAAAGAGGCTGATCTGTATCTGTATCTGACATGTACCTAAAAGCATCTGGACACAATGCACAGAGTGAGAAAATATGGGGTAAAATGGTTTTCCAGAGCTCTAATTCTTTTCTACTGTAAAAGCTCGACAACAAGAGTTCTTAAACTTCCATTTCTTTCAAAAAATAAAGTTTGTAAATATACTATCTATATTTCCTTGTTCTTGTGCATGGCACTTTCTTTTTCCCACTCTGAACTGTCCTCATCACCTTCTTACGTACTTGATCATGTTTTCTCTCTTTTAGAAACAAGACATCCAACCAAATGTTGGTGTTGATCTTTTACTCTCAGCCATAACTTAATTTAGTATAGTAGTTTTAAGAGCGCTTTAGCAGTTATTTATGGTTTTATGTACCCTCCCTTTCTCACTAAATATATCTGTTTCACTGAGAAGGGTGTGGCTGCTTCTACAGCTGATCATATGTGATCCATGCCCTTGCAGAGGGGTATGCATTTTAATATATGTGTAGTATAGACTAGTGTATCTTAAGCTCTAATGGGGATGGTACGGATGAATGTTTGTTATAAGTGAGGGCATTAGTGTTATCCATATTCATAATTTGTTTAATTAAATAACTACATGTTTAACTCACAATGTGCCTTGCAGCAAAAACTCCATCGACAATAGCACAGCAGAAGGCAGCCACCACCCCGAAAGTGATGAAGACAATAGATGCCACTAGCTGTGAAAGAAAGCAGAATAGTGTTAGCCTTAGATCAGAATTTGTTTTACAGAAGACTGGAGACTAAATTTAAACAACCACTATTTTGATTTTTATTGCTTCCTGTCACCACCGTTGCATCAGGTTTACATTTGTGACACTAATGTGCATCATCCTGCCCAAGTTCTTCTGTTTGAGCATGAATCCTCTGAATGGGATGTGGGTGGAGGAAGCGGCTAGCTGCACTGGAACCCATTATTCCCCCCTCATTCCCCGCCTCTTGTACTTCACCCCCATTTGCCTAACTCTCCTGCTTTCAATGAAGGGCAGCATGTATTCAATTACACAGCTTGCAGCAGGGATGCAGTGCAACTGAGGCAACAGCAAGAGGTAACAGGGTTTTATGACACGGCAAGATCAGTTTTAAATGCAGATGGAAACATCCAGACCAAGGGACTTTCGACAGTTCATGTTTCAGATTTGACCAACATGTTGAATGTTAGTTGGGCTGGTTTCTTTTAAAAGCTCTTTATTTTTTTTCCTCAACCGGTTTCCTACTCTGAACGATGTGGTCCTCCATCAATGCACCATTTCCCACAAAGCTAAGAACAGTTTCAGTTATTTTCATTAAAACATCTCTGTATGTGTGCTTTGTTTGTCCTCTTCTTGCTGCTTTGAAGTGGACAAAAACTTAATTTCACATTAATGAGTCAATTCCATGCACAAAGCACAAAGATTTGAATTAAATCTGCTTGTTTAAGGTGTAAACTGTCAGTCAAATCTAACCAAGCCACAGCCACACAGTCCTAACGAAGCAGACTGTTTGAGGTTTTGAGCATTAAACCAGAAATTAAAATGCATATTTTGAAATACACTCACCGGCCAGTGTTCCTAATATTCTGACCCTCTCATGTATGTAGCTGGGGAGGACAAAGATATAGAGACACCTCTAAATATAATGTAGTCCAGTACAACACCGCCTTTAACTATAGCCTCAATAATAAACATATAATTGAATTTATACATTTATGACAATTGCGCCAAAAACCGGAACATTTTGAGCTTCAAAAACACAAACGTTAAGGTGGAAGTGTTGCATTGACGTGCATACAGTTGTATAAGTATATTAAAGTGGCCGGTGAGTGTACTTGTGTAAAAACCAAGTTTTCAGGGGCCTTATACATCAAACATGTTTTTAGAAGATAATTCATGACCACCACTGATTTCATAGGGAATTTAAAAAAAAAAAGATTTCTGCTAATAGTTTTATAGTTTGAGTCAAATACACTTCCTATCAATTATGATTGTTACTTTCACCCACTTACAAGTATAATACTTATTATATTTGTAGTAATATTTCTTACCTTACTTCAAATTTGTGATGAAAATGTGTGAAGATTTGTGATTTGTACTGATTATTTACTCAGTAAATCCACTGAAATGCCAGAAAATAGTAAAAATGACCTTCAGTTTCTCAGATTGCTTTGCTCTGTCATCTTCAAATTCTGTTATTAATCATTTCAGCTATACTAAAAATGTATAAAACCAGTGCAATGTTAAATATGAAAAAATGTGTCTGTAGTACCCCAGATCACAAAAAATACCAACTCCTTTACTGTGTAATACAGTTTCATGGGAAACAACAAATCCGAGGTATTGTGGTGTATGTGCCTTAGCTTAGTCACTTCTGTCACACATACACCGACTCCAGATATCTGAACTCTGGTGCCTTATGGGAAACGGTGTCACGGTACAAACTCGTTCTTCATTTCAGCTCTGACAGACCCTGCACGGCACCTCCCCACCTGCTCCTATCATCTGTAGCTTCCTTCTGCACATTCCTGTGTGGATGTCTGTCCTCTCTACTTACACCCTGCTTCTATTTCTGGCTGCATCGTGCCTGAAGCCCAAGAAACGTACTCTGATGAACAACATAAACCTCATCAGGCCCAGTGGGACTCATAGTCTGGGTTGGGACTTGCTGCCCATTTTGTCAAATTAACAACCTAATCATGCTGTAGGTTGTTGAAAGGTAAATGGGACTGATACACAGTTTAATGACAGTGTTTTGTGAGTGTAAGACAAGGAGACAACAAACAATGAAAGTGATCTCAATGCACAGAGGTAATATAAATCCTCTTACCATCTGCCTTTTGTTCTCTATCAAATGAGCGCCAATAATTCCCAGAAAAGAGCCAAAGCCCAGCTGAAGGAGGAGAAAATTGCTGTTAGGGCCTTTATCTGATCTGACTATGAAGCACAGTGAGCTAAAGCAAGAACTAAGAGCTTCTGTCATAATTTAGGGAATCATTTCAGCGTGATTACAATATTATCGATTAACTATTCACTTTTATAGCTAAGCTACATACATTGCAACATTCGTTTACTGTGATGAGGATTTTTGAGATCTTATGTTACACACTAATTCAATAAAATTTCTTTCTTCCATTTTATACTAACAAATTAAACTATTAATCTGATGAATCTGCAGTTAAAGCTTCAAGAAACATCTTTAGAAATGCAATTCACTGGCTACATTCCTAGTCCCTCTTTACACAAGACCAAAGGCTAAAAGCCAAGTACTGTGAAGAAAACTATTTTATAGGCTGAGATACTTTACATCACTCTGCCTCTAATGACAGTGATGCTGAATAATGAATGTGGCTAAAAATTCACCCCTCAGAGGCTTTCAGTAATTAGGTTCCTCAGAGTCCAAGAACGGGAAGAGCTCAGCAAGACACACACACTTTAGATATTATGATGTCTGACAGGGAACAGGCCTGCTGCTGCTATTACATGCAGGTGTGAACGCACACTTACAATCACCCCTGGGTAGTAACCACCCACTGTGATGTTTTGCGTCCTGGTAGTTGCTGCCAGGCCAAAGATGAGAATGAGAACCGACACAATGAGTAGCATCACTGTCACTATTATGGATTTCTTCTTCCTCCTCTTAAAGGAACCTACAAGGCAACAAATAAGTGAACATTACTCCCAGCATTATACTCTGACATAAGCGATATGGTGAAGTAAAATTAGAAGCAACTAGAATCCTCCACAGTCACTGATGTAATGTGAAGACGATGCAGGAGTCTCTGTCCCTCTGACAAGCAGTGGGCTTCTCAGTTGAACAAGGCATCAAAGCACATGTTGTTCTGAAACCGCTTCAAAAATACTGTATGTATCTTTGCAGTACGGGTTCACATTGTTTAGTAACAGTCAGGTTCCCATATGAACACAGACATGTTTTACTTGCTGTAATCATTCCTCCTGTCAAAAGATCCACAGTCCTCATGGTGTGCAACAATGTTATTCAAGAGCTACAGATTGTTTAATACAACATGACCTCTTTCTGTTACTATCCCTCCTCTACAGCTCATCCAGTGGCATATGACTAAAGCTAAACTAAAACTAAACTAAAACCTTGGAAGATACTGCCTGAATTGGTGTAATTCAGAGTTCTAAAACTTTATATGAACTTCTGAAAACAATACCTGCACAAAACTAGTAAGAAATTAGAAAGGTATCCAGTATGAGCACGATGAATGATTAGAGTAAGTAAAAACATCTGACTATTGTTTTAAGACAGATATTTTAGTTAAGTGGGAAAACTTCACATGCTTTGGATGTGCTAGTGATTCTACACTTGGTAGACATTTCTAATAAAATAAAAAACATTCATTTTTTAACGTCAATGCACATATTTAGCAGCAATGAACTTATTAAATTTAGTCTACATTAAAGAGCCTGTTTTAGTGATTTGTGAATAATTGTGAAGAGGGTACAGCCTGTACTGACATTAAATGAGCTGAGTTCAATTATTAGGACCTTTCAACAGGACAGACATAAAATCCTAATCATAAAAACATCCTATTATACACATAAGAATATACAAAATATAAAAGAGGCACTTGGATTGCCTCATCTTGTCCTGCAACAATTTTCCGGGAGAAGTGGTGCGTTATCTGACAGAAATGCAAGGGTACCAATATTTTTGGCCATGACTGTATGCTCACAGCACATCAAGACTGCAACTAGAAGTTTTAAAAAAGCTGTTTTACTTCATTAATATGTAAATTCATGCAGCAAGGCGCACCACTCCATATGAGGCACCTGTGTATGTTCCTGAGTTAAAGCTCAAAAACACCACTCCATGAGGCACAGGTGTATGTTCCTGAGTTAAAGCTCAAAAGATAAACCAAGTGAATCAGCTAATTAAGTAGTACTAGGAAATCTGTGTCCCCTCGTTAATATACAAATTTATGCAGAAAGGTGCTCCAAAATCTAATCATACAGGGTACTTGTGGTGTCAGTATGAAGGTTCTACTACAGTATCTGTCCTTCTCGTTCACAAGAATGTGTTTATGTAGTCACAGATGGCAGCGTGACAACAACAAGTAACATCCCACATACCATGAGCAGTGGTGGTGGGACATGAGCTAAAAACAATATACCAGAGGTTCAGCTTAAATATCATACGAGATTGCATTTTCACACATGCAATACTGTATATGATTGCCAATAACGATTTTAAGTTGAAGACTGTTGATAAATTAGGTTGTATCATTATTCCCTGGCTCTATCCTGTAAATGTTTTGCAGCATGGTTATATTTGCTTTTATGTGACTTCTGTTGAAAACATGATGAGGAGTCAAACAGTCAAGTATCGTTAGTTATTTGATTTACAGCATACAGTAGACCACTCATGCATTTGTGCATAACATTAGTCAGATTATTACAAAAGTAGTTCTTTGAAGATTACTCCATGTAATAGAGTTACTGTGGTCAGTGTGACATAACCACTTCAGTATGATTATGCCAACCAGAACCTCGCCAGTTCAATGCTGCTCTAAAAACAAGGTTTCTTCATGGTTCACCACCTTATATATAAAACTTAAAATATATCTGAATACCAGATGGAATGCAGTTCAGCACCTGTTCCACTGTCAGCCCCAAAGTGTAAAAGATAGTGAAAATCAGAAGAGGTGATGAAGCCTATACTTATATAAACTGTGCATGCATTTGCTGAAATTCTGATCATTTTGTCAGTAACTGTCATTAAACACAACCTGAACCTGGATGTAAAGATGGATGGATTAACCACATACATAACAACCAATTCCAAAAAATACACATAAGGGCATATATCTGGAACAAAAATAGCCTATGCAAACATTGTATTACTGCATAAAGCAAGCGATAAAGTATTTAGAGCTTTGTAAGTATGATTTCAGCCTTCTGATCCACAACAAAACTTAGTAGTTGAATGCAACAATGAACAACTTGCTACCATCTGAGAACAGCCTGTTCAAAATGTAAGGAATACGTTCACAAATTTCCCATCACATGAATGTTATTCTTTTAATTTTCCTGGTAGAAGTAGAGTATCCAGACAAAAATCTATGTCAGAGCCAGACATCCAGGCTGCTGTGGTTTGTCAACGCCGCACCTGCAGTGACGCGCTGCGGCCTGAACGGGAGGGGAAAAAAACACGGTCCGGTGATGCAACGAGTGTTTTTGTCTGCTTTTCTAAAGAAAATGCGGTTACTGCTTTTAGCAGACCACTCAATGGCAAAACTATTAGCCAGTGGGCGTGTGTTCAATTAAGAGAAGCTTTCTCCGTTCACTAAAAGCCCCGCGGTCTAGCAATACAAGCATATTCTAATATTCTAATTGATAAAACCTGCTGCAGACACACCGTTGACCTTGCACACACCTACCCATGTTTGTTTCAGACAGAGTCAGTGCGCTGGATTGTAGGCTCTGAGGAGGAGGCATGTTGGCTGCAGGATGTTCAACGTAGTCCTCCGGGTGACCCTTTTACAAATTAAAAAAAAAATCACGAGTCATTGTTATTCGCTAGATTTAGGAGCTACGCACATTTATGCATATTCGCGAGCTAACGCAGACGGTGCAACCCTCCGTTACCACTGACCCCGAGCCCTTCTCATTTACATCCCCGCGGCTGGTGAAACATCTCCTGAATGGTCCCAGTCCTCACGGTGTGTCGGTGTCCTACAGTGTGTCATTGTTGCTAGTGGTTGTATGTGCGCATGTCACACACGTACTCAAAAATAAAGTACCTTTAGACTACGTTACTTTTCTAATTTCAAAGCAGTGTAACCAGTCGGACGAAATTCCCCTCGGATACGCAAACGTTACACCGCCTTTCTTCGTTACTTTGCGCTACAACGAGTGTTTTTTTTATTTGTGTGTGTGTGTGTGTGTGTGTGTGTTTCCTTTACTCCTTAACTGACAGTTCAATTCCCTGTTTAAAACAGTAATGAACTTCTATCATCCTAAAAAAAAAAAAAAATCTTCCGCCATGTCTGAGATTATTAGCTAGTTAGCTAATGTCTTCAACAGTTAATATTCCAAGTTACAAGATGAGCGACGACAAACCTAAACAAATTTAAAAAAAGGGGGGGGCTGATATTTAACGTTAGTTCAAATAAAGACCAGAGTTTTAGTCTTGTACTGAATTTGTCACACATGCAAGTAAAGGGAAATACATTTCTTTAATGTCACCGAAATATAACTAATTTGAAGGGGTCATTAGCATCCATTAGCATCCATTGTCACCACCCAAGGATCTATTAGTGAGCCCAGCAGGGGTAAACTATTCAGGATTGTTCTACATCACATTGAGTCAAATAAGTCAGGTTTAATATGTTTTGTATAATAAATTGTATTCATTCTTCGTCACCTCTGTGTACTTACCTTGGTTGTATACTGTATATTTGGAGGTAATTGTCCTGTTGGCAGATCAGCGTGAGCATCGAGCGCCACCAACTGTTAGATATACTATGTTGCGTTCAGGGGCTGTCTGACACCCAGCTATCAGCAGTGACTCCTCAAGCAAAACGGCGCTGCCTTCAGGTAAGTAGGCTATCGCAGAACTAAAATCGGGGTTTTTATACACAAGTCTTTCTGGCCCAGAGTAAAATGGACCCCATATGTCTTGTTTGGTTGCCGACATTTTACTTGAATTTGAACAGGAACACGAACAAGAGAAGATCCAAATTAAATATGGGAGTGATAATGCACAGCAACCACAAATGATAGATGCAACAATAGACAATTATATCAGTATTTTGCCTAAATTATCATTCTTTTTATTATTTTTTAAGCTTAGTTGCAAATGATATTTGCCAAACTAAATAACTAAATAAATTAATTAAACATTTGTTTCCCATCTGTAACTTTAATCCTGTTGAAATTTTGTACACATTATTTTGGCCTTCATATAAGTTACAGAAAATATTAGTTATATTTGTTATGTTTATTTATTCATGCACTCAACAATACAGATTTCTGTTACTGTAGTAAAGAGATTTTAAAAATAAAATAAGAAATGAAACATTTTGACAAGGTGGCTGTTACAGGAAAACTTGGACATATTGCCAGTGGTGGAAAGTAACTAAGTACATTTACTCAAGTACTGTACTTAAGTAAAATCTTGAGGCATCTGAACTTTACTTTAATATTTTAAATTTCTTTTACTTTATACTTTGACTTTACTACATTTTAGAGGCAAATGTTTTACTTTTTACTCCACTACATTTATTTAGTTACTTTAGTTACTAGTTAGTTACTTTTCATAACTAGATTAATATAAAAAATAAAGTATAATTATAAGGCCTCACTAATCTATGATAGAATATTTACAAGCTACCCAGAAGTAATTCATATTAAATGTATATAAGTTAGTTAAAACTAGCTCCCCCTTTTGACATAAAGAGGCTGAGAAGCCAAACCAAATAAAGTATAATTTGCCTTTTTTTAAATACATATAACCTTCTGTACATCCACAAGATATTGGAATGGGTCAGTATGCTCCAAGCAAGGCTGTAGTGCTAAATTAGTTTTGTGGAAAACAATGTTAGTGATCAATGATTATTGATTAAATTGATGTGTTTATGTGCTTAATCAAACAAGTATTGAATGCAGTCTTCAGACAGTCAGCTGAGAAGTACAGAGTATGATAGTTGAGAAAACAGAGTGCCTGTGTAGAAGAAACTGAAACAGCTGGACTTTGACTTTTAGACTGAGCTGTCCAAGGCTTGCTTGTCTGGTATAAGGAAAGAGAGTGTGCATACTGGTAGGTTTCTCCTTTGAGTGTCATGCTGCAGCATTAAAGGGTTTTATCAATACTCTTGAAGATTATTGTGTCTGAGTCTGGTTATATGTTGTCTGAGAAATTGCCACTACTCAAGCAAAGACACATTTCACTGGCCCCGAACTCCAGGTGCCCTGATAGCCCCAGGTTTACCTTATGTCCAAGGGTTTGTAAGAATAACATTAAAAATGCGTTTTGGGAATATACACCACTGAAACACAATATCCAGGATGGTAAAGGTCATGAAGCAGGTCATGAGGCTGCTACTATAATTTATTATTATTATTTTATTTGGTTTGGTTTTTAGGTTGTGTGTTTTATGTATCTGT